TATAGCTTTGTAAAAAATCTCTAACCTTTTCTATTGCTTTATAAAAGTCTCTAACCTTTTCTATAGCTTTGTAAAAAATCTCTAACCTTTTCTATTGCTTTATAAAAGTCTCTAACCTTTTCTATAGCTTTATACATGAAAATAAGCGATATAAGGGTGGCAAAGTTTTCTTCTGTGAAACGAGTGATGTAGCAGACCAAGACACTAGCATCCAGAGCAACCAACACCACCAATATAAGAGCCGTCCACATGCCAATCCACAGTCTAAAGGGCAAATAATCTAATCCATGATCTCTGAAAAAAAGTAACATTTATTGTGAAATTTCAAATATAAAAACATAAAATAAACATATATTTACTTTGTTTACTTTAACCATTTCTTTCTTTTCGCTCTGAAACTAAGATAACAAATAATACTTCAAAACGCTTTAACAAGAAAAGTGAAAGACTTGTTAAAGTTTCGGTTTTCAGCAGGGATTTAAAGTTAAAATGTATGCCTGTTTGCATCTTCTGTCAGGCCCCCCAGTGGCACAGCGGTATGTCTGCGGACATACGACGCTAGAAACCGGGTTTCGATATTCGTGGTGGGCAGAGCACAGATAGCCCATTGTGTTGCATAAATTCCAACAAACAAACAAATCTTCTGCCAGATAATAAAAACAATTTTCTTAATTTATATTTTGAACATATTAATAGATAAACTTTATTTTCCTGCTTGAGTATTTAAAGTATACTGGTTTAACAAGATTGTACTTGTCTAAATGTCCAAGCACCAACAAAAAAAAAAAAAACTTTTCAGTAAATTTAGATTTCAGCGAAGAATATTTATGATTATCGTTATTTCGAGATGAGAGAAATATAAATATTGATATTTTAAGTTAGAATATAACCTTAAAACACAAAATAACATACAATTAGAATAATACAGTGTCATCAGTTGGAAAAACCTAACCTGCAAAATCCGAATAGTATTGTTTCGAACACCAACACTGGTCCAGTACTGCCAAGAATAGTCAGTGGTTGGCCACTGAATAATCCATAAATTATACCACACACAGCTCCAGCCAGCAGGCTTTCTATGGCACCCTAGAATTATTTAGAAAACAGTTTTAAGGAGCTCAGTAATGTTATGATCTAGTGTTAAAGTAACCTATTAAAGTTACAGTGAAGATAAAAAGATACTGACTGAAGTTTCTCAAAATTCTGAAAATATCAAATAACTTTGTAACATGATAAAATAAAAGACATAAATTCTAATGGGTTACAAACACTAAACGTTACAGAATTTATATAAAAAGACCTATAATAGTTAGTATCTATAATTTTGAAATATTAGAAACTATTTTCAATAAGTTCTGAAAATATAATTTTTTTTTGAAAAATACTGTAACCGTGGTTGTTAGTAATCTAGAACAGACAAAAATAATTCAAAATTCTATGAAGGAAACCCACAAAGGAATTTAAAAAAAATTCTGTTCTTGATCGTTTATCAGATGTATGAAAACATTGGTACTGATCTTTTAAGCTTGCAGCAAGACACAGCATCTCTTTTTTTCTTTGCAGAATGTTTGTTACAAAATCTGAACAGTGAGATTGACCGTAACGTTATAACGCCTCTTACGTCTTAAAGGGCGAAAAAGTTCGGCGAATGGTTTCGATCCCGTGACCCGTAGACTGCGAGTCAAACTAACCTTACAGCAATACTTAATTGATATGTGTAACGTACTTGTCGACGATCTAAGTATCCAAACGATCTGTCTTTCCGTAAAATCATACCATCCTCATTATAGCAAGCCAGACTTAAGACTTGTATATGATCAGCAAACTGATCCAATTTCCCGTCTATGCCCCTAACAATCACTACTGAAAATGAGAAACGGAAACGGTCCCAACACAGATCCTTGAGGCATACCACTTATAAAATTAGTTCAGTTAGTCTGAGCTCCATTACAACTCCTTGTATTCTCCCCCCCCCTTCAATCCATTTAACTAACTCGCTCCTAACTCCGACTGAGGTAATATTTCTCACCAATCTTTCATCTGCCATCTTATCAAACGTCTTAATACTTTCTCCATAAAAAAGCCAGGACTAACAGTCTTGTAACTTTGTGGACAATATTTATCTTTGAAAAATTGAGTAACTTAGCTATCCTCTAATCTTTGTGGTACGTGCTTCCTGTCCAATGATCTATAAGAAATGAAAGCGAGTGGCTCAGAAATGTGATTCTTAACCGCTTTTTAAATATAGGATCAAATGTTATCAGCCTCATTCATTTTCAACCATTTTGTTGTTTTTTTCTTACAAGCTCCGAATTATTGCACTTCCTTACTGCACTTCCCTGGTTAAAGCTGGATACAGCAGATATGTGGTTGATATATCATTATACACTCTTTTTTATTTTCATTCTGAAATTCATATATTTTATATACTTGTGCTATTAATAAACTGACATTTCCAGGGTGCTGTGACTTATACTAAATGCAAAGAGTACCACACAATTATCAAAATAGCAGAGTTTAATGATAAGTTTATTTATGAAGCGACTTAGGCCAAAACTCTTAAAGTGTTAAATATTTTTTTTCTCCTTTGAGATTAATTATATAAGCTCGAAAGATTATTTACCTGTAAAAAAAGCCAACTATCTAAACTTTGGTTTAGTCAGAACGTTGTGATGTAAATAAAAAAAAGGGGGTGGTGGCTTAAAGTTGAATAACTTAGATTAGAAGCGGAACTCTGCGAAACATTTTAATAATTTTTTTATTGTCTTGTGGCCTCACAAATTAAATTGTTTTAAGCGATATGTCCTGCAATAATTTATTTCAATGTAAAACACACTGAAATTTCGTCTTAAATATGCTAATCCAGATCAATATTAAGTAATGGAACTTGCTACGGTAAATGTATAACGGAAATGCCAAGCTCTTCTAGCCCATTTGGGACACAAGAGCATAATGAATAGTTCGATTGTCTTTTTGGAATTGCCATTGTCCATCAGTTCTCAAGAATCTACTGAGAACCAAACCAAAAAGGCAAACAGACAGATGATTGAGTACATTCTATTAAAACGATTTTGATTATGGAAATAAGCAAGTCACGTGAGAACTAAAGCCGATGTAAAGAACTACACTTTTGACTTGTGCGTTTTGTTGTTAGCGAGATGTCACATAACTTTTTCTGTATAGCTTTTGGAAGTTAACAGCTCTTTCCGACTGGAATGACATTATGATCGCTCCAAAAATAGTTTTAATACCAGGTGTACTTCCGAAGGGTCTCCGAAAGTGTTCTGTTTCAAGAGTAAATAAAACAAAAATGAAGAGTAATAAATATTTTTAATTCTTGACGTCATGACAATACAAATCGGAACATTAAGCGTCTCTTATGTGATATCATTTTCGTGTCTACTGACTGACTGACAGACAACGCACTACTGGATAGTGGTGCGAGTGGTTAAAACACTCCAGGCGGCCTTCGGTCCCCCTTTCAGGGGTATTCTACCTTCTTTACCTTCTAATACTGGGCGGAGTTGATGGTTTTACCAAAACATTCCCAAGAAAGAGATATGACGAATTACACCACTCGTTTGTAAACTCTGTAACGCTAAACCAAGTAGACTGTTTTTATTACATATGTTTTCACTGTTTCATTTTGGAAACATTGCAGCGAAAACTAAAGAATAGCCTTCATTAGATAGGATTTCTTTCTTAGTTCTAAACCGACTGAGGAACTGTTGGTAAATTAACAACAGAAATCGTGGGTGTTAATTTATATTATTAGTTTTGGTCATATATGTTGCTAAAAGTTCACATATATTCGTAAAAATAATGATTTGATTACGAAATTAAAGATAATAGAAACAAAACAAGACTACAATCGTATTTAGAACATAGAGATTTATTTTAAATACGAGCATCGTTATTTTGTTGTTGATGATGTGAAGTACAAAGTTACACAAAGGGTCACTTGTGCTCTTGCTCATATTGGGTATCGCAATCCGATGTTTAGCGTTACAATCCCTCAGATTTCCCGCTCAGCCCCCGTGAAGCTGCTTAAAAATATTAATATAAATTCTTATTATAATGGAGCTTGCGATGTATATATATCCGAAACTCGGATCCCGGAAACTACCTCACCGATCATCACCAATCATAATTGGGTAATATTTTTATAGCTGAGCAATATATAAAACAATTGAAATTTCCATAAAAATGATATGTTTCAGATTTAACGAATAACAATTACAAAAAATAAGTAAGTTTCAAATATAAAACAATCAAAAACAAACTTAAAAAAATATTTGTTTTTCTTTATTGAAATCCTCATGAGTGTTGTAACAGAAAAGCAAGAAACTTTTATTGATAACTGTGTCTACAAAGGAATATTTTAATAAAATCTACTCTGTGATGTAATGTGGTGATGATAGTTCATTTTTAAACTAAAGTTTCAATAAAATCCTTTTTCTCGTGGATGGTGAACATTATTGAATGTCAAGTATGAGTACATTGTTGTAGAACTGTCAGATAGTTCCAGAAAAGGCCGCAGGAACTAACAGTTATACCTGCCCAGAGGGAGTGTATTTCTGCTAGCAATATTAATATTTATTGTATTCTTTCTATATATCGTAAAGGAAATCACTATATTTTATTTCTCAAAGTAATAACATTATTTATAGCATGGACACGGAAATCGTGTATACTTGTTTAACCAATTATTAACTAAAGCTTTTATTTATTCTTTAAAACTATATTCATTCGTGTTTAAAGGTAGCACAACCCCCGATCGGGGTGTACCCGCAATACTTTCGGAATACCACATTCATGTATGATGTTATATAATAAGAATGAGCAATCTCTAAGAAAAAAAAAAAGACGAAGATTTATTCTCGGGTAACTATTACTGAAATCAGTTAATACAAAAAGACGAAGATTTATTCTAGGGTAACTATTACTGAAATCAGTTAATACAAAAAGACGAAGATTTATTCTAGGGTAACTATTACTAAAATCAGTTAATAAAAAAGACGAAGATTTATTCTCGGGTAACTATTACTAAAATCAGTTAATAAAAGAGACGAAGATTTATTCTAGGTAACTATTACTGAAATCAGTTAATAAAAAAAGACGAAGATTTATTCTAGAGTAACTATTACTAAAATCAGTTAATAAACAAATAGTGAAATTTGAATATGGATTTAATTAACTTTTTCGTTATAAGCAGAAATTGACCATACTATTAATAAAATTATCAGAACTAGCTAGAATTATTCCAAAATGATTACTAGTTTTAGGTAGTATGATATTAAAGCTATAATATGACGTAAGGAAAAACTTAATATCTTGCTTATAAATGAGTTTATGGTTATCAGAAAGTTTAAATATGAATTAACTTTGTATATTTTCAAAACCTGTATTAACCTTTATTTTCTTATAACACATTATAGCTTTAATACTACATAATGCGAAACTAGTAAGTGTTTTGGGGTACGCTAGTTAACCTAATCTTGTTAAAAGTAACGCTGGTAGTTGCCTTTTTTTTTTACAAAATAATAAAACGTCAATTTAAATTAAAATTTTACATTATTCATTATTGAATGTAAGAATTAGTTACCCCAGAAGAAAAGAAAACTGTTTTTTTTGTGTGAGACTCTTCATTTTTTATTGAAACAGCTTGACAAATAAATGAGATATTTAAAAAAAAAACACCGTGAGCAGATATCAGATGCAAACATACCTGGGAACTACATCTATGCATGAAACTTTTGTGAATTATTTATCTTGAGAAACGTTGGTTATTCTTTAAGTTTATAATAAATTATTAAAAGTCTCAGTAAGTTTCACATCTAAATAGAAACCACTATATTTTACATACTATAACCAAAAGAAAGTTCTGTAACATAATTTAAATACAGTAAACGAAAGTTCTCACAAAGTCATGACATAACAAAACCGTGTACATCTCACCAGTCGGAATTGTGTTGCTTCTCCTAAAAGTCCTCCGAATGTAATTATTGGTGTAAGGCAGGCAAAATAAAGGAAAACTACTGAGGCTACAGTTTGTAAGGCAAACCCATCCTTGACGTCACTGAGGTACCAGAGTTTCTTTCGCTTGATGTCATTTATCAGTCCCCCAAATAGCCTGCAAAAACAGGTAAATTGTAGCACGAAAATATAAATCAATGACATATGAGCTTAGACTATAACAAGTTTTTACTTTGGACGTGATATTTATTTAACCTAAATGTGGAAAATTTTGTATTAAAAAAATAGTATTATTTTCCCTAAAATATGAAGCTCAATGTAATATATATATATATATTTATATATGTATCTCAGTATTCTGAGTGATATCAGTTCTACAATGTAGGGTTAATTATATCGTAAATACTAACGTAGTGTTGTGAAGCCAGCAATACTGTATCTGTAGTATATGTGACACATTACAATTATATAAGCAAGTTTTTATTTCAGTTGCTTACCTGATGACAAGTAAGTGAACATAGTTTGATAGATGGCGTTAAAATGATATTTTAAACAACTTTAAAACACGCGAGTAGCAAAGATGGTGCCTAAATATGTTATAATAAGTTAGCATCCCATAAAAACACAGGGACAACGGTAAATTAACATCCATACAAACACAGGGACAACGGTAAATTAACATCCCATACAAACACAGTGACAATAGTAAGTTAATATTCCATACAAACACAGGGACAACGGTAAGTTAAGATCCTATACAAACACAGGGACAACGGTAAGTTAAGATCCTATACAAACACAGGGACAACAGTATGTTAAGATACTATACAAACACAGTGACAACGGTAAGTTGATATCCCATACAAACACAGGGACAATAGTAAGTTAATATTCCATACAAACACAGGGACAACGGTAAGTTAAGATCCTATACAAACACAGTGACAACGGTAAGTTAGCATCCCATACAAACACAGGGACAACGGTAAATTAACATCCATACAAACACAGGGACAACGGTAAGTTAATATCCCATACAAACACAGTGACAATAGTAAGTTAATATTCCATACAAACACAGGGACAACGGTAAGTTAAGATCCTATACAAACACAGTGACAACGGTAAGTCAGTATCCCATACAAATACAGGGACAACAGTATGTTAAGATACTATACAAACACAGTGACAACAGTATGTTAAGATTCTATACAAACACAGTGACAACGGTAAATTAATATCCCATACAAACACAGGGACAACGGTAAGTTAGCATCCCATAGAAACAGTGACAACGGTCAGTTAGCGTTCCATACAAACACAGTGACAATGGTAAGTTAGCGTTCCGTACAAACACAGGGACAACGGCAAGTTTACATCGCATACATACACAGTGACAACGGTAAGTTAGCATCCCATAGAAACAGTGACAACGGTCACTTAGCGTTCCATACAAACACAGTGACAATGGTAAGTTAGCGTTCCATACAAACACAGAGACAACGGTAAGTTTACATCGCATACATACACAGTGACAACGGTAAGTTCATGATGTCAGAAAAACACGTAGGTTCAAGAAGTCTTAATACAAAATGATAAAACCCTATAACCTAGCGCGTTCGAAAGGTGGACCTTTCTTCTTCAGGGGCAAACATAAACTTGTCTCATAAAATAAATAGCACGTCAACCTTTCATAGACTAAATCTTTTAGCTTCACTTATGCCATGTTTTTTGTTGCCTTTTGAGTTATAGCTTCGCAACAATGGACTTTCTATCACACATTTTGTTTTATAAATATACAGTCAAACACAATTCCTTATGAATAACTTTCAGGATTACTCCTTTTAGGGTTATACCGCCATTTTTACTACTGCGTCACATTCCGTACCACATATACTTAGTACTTCTACTACTATAACTTTAATTTCGACTTCAGTTGCCTTAACAGTCCAGGTTGGATAGAGTTTTTAAAAATAACGATATTGAAACAAGTCAGCTTTAGTTAAAGGATAAGTTTCAAACTTACTTCGACATTCATCATTTAAAATGTGTAATTATTTACTACTTGAATTTTAGGATGACCAATTTTAGGTTTTGCTTATGATAATTTTTTCCTGTTAAACAAAAGATTTTACTTAAGCTGTTTGTCAGGATGATGTAGCCCGACAAGGCCAGGTGATTAGGGCGCTCGACTCGCAATCTGCAGGTCGCGGGTTCGAATCCCCGTCACACCAAACATGCTCGCCCTTTCAACTGTGAAAGCGTTATAATGTGACGATCAATCCCACTATTTGTTGGTAAAAGAGTCGCCCAAGAGTTGACGGAGGGTGGTGATGACTAGCTGCCTTCCCTCTAGTCTTACACTGCTAAATTAGCCCTCGTGTAACTTTGCGCGAAATTCAAAACAAACAAACAGAATGATGTAAATTTTACTTTTAGTCTTATCATTGAATTCCATTGATAAGTTTCATGTTTTAGTCAACAATTGGAAATATCAGGCTACAAATTCAATGCGTGTATAAGTAGTTGAGCTGTACAGTTTATGCGTTGATTTTTAATATCTATTTAATAAACGGTAAGTTTAAGATTCAATATCGTTATATTTTAACCAAAAAGTTTTGAAAATGTACATTATATATTGGCTTGTCTACTAAGACGTTGATTATGGTTTGCTTACTAACTTGTACAGTAGTTAAACCTGTGGCTGCAGTGTAGTGGTGGTATTGTCCTTTGTGGTTTAGAATATGTGTTTGCTTCAGAATTGCGAGCCAGTCTACACAGCGGTTATCCGAGTAGAGCCGTCCCTAAATGTGATCTGATATATTAAAGTGATTTTTAAACGTCAACAGCACCTACCGACATCTCTTGCTCTGGAACGATGGAATAATGGGATTTGTTTGTCACTCTCATAGACAATACGCAGCCATAACGTGCAGAGCGCGTTTTTGCTGCAACTGAACAATGTGACCTTGTATTCAAAGTCTGGACAACGACCAGACCGACTATGTTGCATAAACGGTTTACGTCAAATGTCGCCGTGAGTAATACACACCAAGCCGTCCTGTAGCCACAAACCAATTCGAAATATATTGTAAAACATATCCTTAAGTTTGGTTCTGAGGTCACTGATGATGCCACTTCACCATCACTAGAAATAATCCAGAGTCAAGAGAGAGACAGAAGATCAAGTCGCAAGTCCGCTCGGTTTTGTAGTTTCATTCACTGTAAAAAATTTAGGAACGCCATCCATTCTGTAAAAGATCATCGGAGACAACCAGCTCGGATTAACAATGTAAGAATACGGCTGCATTATTACAACAGTCAAACCAAGCTATATTATTTACATTGTCATAACTGTCCATCTAAGTTATATTATTAACATTGTTACAACAGCCAACCCAAGCTATATTATTTACACTGTCATAACTGTCCATCTAAGTTATATTATTAACATTGTTACAACAGTCAACCCAAGCTATATTATTT